TGAACTTTACGCACAGTAAGCCTACGTGTTTAATTCATTGACAGCATCCTGGCCTCTTTCATTATATAATTAAAGCTTGTATCTCCAGTAGTTTGTCATTGTCAACCCTCCCTGCACCTAATCATGGTGCCGACTTGATAACGGGGCACTTCAACACGTGACGTCAGATAGTGCAGAACTAGTAAAGCTGGACTCCTGAGAAACTAAATCATCTCCTCCAGGCTGTGTAAAGAAGAGACTGAGGACACCGGATCGAGAGCATGGTGCGACTTTGCTGACAGCCGGTTCATGATGTCATCCGCCATGATGATACCTCACAGACTATACTGTTACTCGCTATCACTTATTTAACTACATTCGCTAATGTTCTTTTCACGACTCACTCCTGAACATCTAGATTGGCCGGAGCCGATCCTCCTTTTTTCTTTTATAGCCTTCTTTGTTTTTCGGAAATAAGACTTTATTTAACTTACTCAGACCGTCCTCCCTGTCGACCTGCAATCCATGTCAACACTGCAACATGTCAATATATGCATTTTAATCTTAGGTCCAATATTTACATCATTATTTTTAAACAATTAGATGACATCTCATTCAAACGACATTTTAACATTTCTTCACTTCTTCACAAAAAAGGTAGGAATTTGGGCTACAGATATTTAAACAACATTTTTCAGAATTGCCCCTTAACTTTACTATTATTTGTATTTTTTATTTTGCACTTAATGCATGAGTTAATATGGGCCTTACAACCAAAAAGACTATTCTAAAAGGAACGCTTCAAATATAGGACTAATATGTCCATGTAGTTGTCTTTATTGTCAGATAATTTAAGGGGATCTGTCCCAAAGTCTATTACTGTTAAAGGACGTTAGGACACCATCTTGTGGCAGGGGATGGCACACACAGCCTAGTGTACTGCCTAAACTTAACCTGTGTGCGCGTGTTTGTGTTTGTGTCTGCGCGTGTGTGTGGCCTGCTTATAATACTACAGTTCATTGTATTTTTTATTGACTCATCGATATCTCTCTATAATGATTGGACAATCTTTAAAGAATATTAAACATAAGGCTTTACCTTTTTTAAAGTTATTATCAGTAGATTAACACTTGCATTTGTTGTCTTGCATAGGTCACAAAGACTTTGTATAAATACTTTGAAATAAACTTAATAGCTGCTATTCTTTAGTATCTATATTTCATTATTTTGATAAATTAAAGAATTCACACATTTCATCCATTTTCTAATGAGAGAGAGAACTTGCCCTCAGTAGGTGTATTTAAACCAAACATAAAGCATTAAAACACAATAAGACCGCATCAAAAGAATATTTATTCTCCGTTTTTTTTTAATCGTTTGTACCTGGAAAGTGCATCATAGATTTTACAATAAGCAAAATTCATATTTAAGACATGAACACAACCGAGCGACATTCACACTCATCATTTTTGTTTGGACAATGTATTTCATAGGAGGAAAAATCTCTTAAGCAAATGTATAAAAATTATTTATATTCAGATGAAAACGAGGGGAGGTCGACATGGGCTTTGTTCCATCAGAGCAGGTGTCGTTGGTCAGTTGCCGCTTTATTGCTTAACCATGGCAGCGAACTCTGCAGGGAGACAGGAAAACACAGTTAGGGTCTTTAGTTTCCACCACAGAATGATGTAAGCACTCTGCAGGAGAGAAAGAGATGAGAGTCCGCACCGTCAGCGCCAATCATGCCATCACCGTCGGAGTCTCCGGCCTTCAGGAGTATCTTGGTCTCGGCATCGGTCAGCGCGCGTGCACCTGCCTTGAAGGTCTGCAGGAACAGCCTGAAGACAGCAAACACATCTGGTGGTTAGTTCAGGGACCCCAGCTACCATTGGTTTTAGACCAAGTGCCTTACTTTATGTTGAAAAGTGTCGGGGACATAGTGGGTCAGAAGATGTGTAGCCAATGTATTGGGGGGGGCCGTTTGAGATCAGAGTAGATCATTTTTAAGTTAGGGAAAAACCAAGAAAAAATGTCACGATTGCTGGTCAGTACATGCATTATTTTTCGTCATTTTTTATAATGAGTAAACTGGGGGAGCATTATTTTAGTTGAGGTCAATGGACATTTATTGATTCTTTGTACATTGTGAACGTTTTTTCTTATTTAGTTAACATTTCTTGATGTAAGATGTTTTTCAATTTTTTTATGTAGGTTTGAAAAACAAATAGGGACATAATCACCAATGTCCTCAGCATGCTTAATGTAAATTACACCTAGCTGACTCAAAAATCCATATTATTACAATTGCTGTAGGAAGCTTTACATTCCTCCAGTCCCCAACAATACACCCATTATTTACTTGGCTTATAGATACAACTTTTTGTTGTTTTATGAAGCTGATATCAGAGCATGCAACAATGGTGTTTGTGCATTAAGTGTGTGGTGTGTGTCTTACTTCAGCTCCTCCTCCTCAATGAATCCACTGTTGTCCTGGTCAATGATGGCGAAGGCCTTCTTCAGGTCTTCTGCGGACTTGCCAGCCATACCGCATGCCTTGAAGAACTTCTTGTGGTCGAAGGAGTCAGCAGCTGGAAAACACATTTTAACATCATTAGCAGCATAAAGGCAAGCTGCAGGCACCAGGACTTTTTCAGGTCGAACTTGCCAGCGTCTGAAATGAATGCAAGTCGTTACTCAGACTGCATCCACATACACAAGCTGGACAAAAAGCGACCTCCAAACACAGAGCCAAAGAGGGAGGGCTGTGATTGTTTTTGTGTGAGTGTAACTTGAGGAGTCACCTTTGCACCCTTCCAGGGCTGCAGCGACATCAGCTTCTTTAAGTAGACTTGCGAAGGCCATTTCGATCTGCAGAAATACAAAAATATATTATTATTATTATTATTTGTATTTTTATGTATATATATATTTGTATTATTATTTTTGTACTATTATTATCTCAAAATAGACATACAATGGCTTTACAATAGTTGACTGTACGCATCACGGTTCACTGTATTACACATTATTTCAACTGTAAACTAATAACATAATAAAGAACGATCAATTTATCATTTAAACTCAACTCTTTGCATTTAATATGATGTTAACTATCCACATTGGAACATAAACATAATGGAATCAGTTCAGATTTCACAGGGCAACCTTTTCAGTCCCCTTTTGTTCAGAGTGGATTATATTTCCAAATTCCTTTTGAGAGGAGATCGACACATGTTTCCTACTGTATCTCTAGATGCTGGAATGTCTTAGCAGTAAAATCCATGTCTTCTTGCAGCTGACGCTTCCGCAAAAATAATGCTCCAAAAACTCAGATGCTGCATTGCAGCGCGAACTCCACAATACAAGTAAAAAAAAAACAATGTTTTCTGAAAAATGTAAACCGAGAAGATGCTGCGGCTCGGTGTTTCCCAGTTTTCTTTTCTCCTTTAATTCAAACTCACCTCTTTGATGTATTTGCTTTGAAGAGTACAGATGAAACAGAGAGGACTTGAGTCGACTGCAGTGAACTTGCCGTTGCTGCCCGTGACCTTTTTATAGTTTTACTCCATCGAAATCTGAGGCATAAGATAACTGACACCGTTGAAAAGGGGGTGGCGAAAATCCTTCCTGAAGCCAGAGCGCGGTCTATTTTAAGTTTCACAAATGAAGACGCTTAAAAGGTGCGTTCGAAGAAGTCTTTAATGTCCCCCTCAATACTAAGAATAGGACATTGCACTGCTGAGGAGGACGAATTGAAATTGCTGCTGGCAACAAACAACTGTAAGAGGGTGGACACGGAGCATGCATGCATTGGGGCTGGAGAAACTGATACTCATCAGTTGTTTTCCCTCCTTTCGTGTTGGTTTGGAGGACACTTGCTATTGTATTTAAGAATATACTGTACTATTTAAAATTCAAATGTATATAGGCTTGTGTCTTTGTAACATTGATATTGTACCTAATAGTTGCCCACCTCACAGCCACAATGAGCATTTAATTTGTTATACACGTCATAATGTATTTTCTTAGTGCAGCCATTTGTGTTTTGTCCGAATTGAATAGATAAAGAACAAAGCAGCCAACACGACTTGGCATATAAAGAGAAAAACACCCACAGTTGACTGCAGAGTCATAAATTAGTTGGTATTGTTCAGACTAGTCAAAGTCCATGTATCACTTTGTGTTATTCTAAGAGTGAAAAATGTTTAAAAGTGCAAGAGAATGCAGGCAAAATAAAGTTGAAACCCTCCTAAGATAGTAGAAAAGAGAAGGATATTATGAGTTGCTCATCTGGGCTTGTCTTACTGTACAATGAAGAGAATAGCTTTGACCTGCAGGTGGCAGCGCTGCCCTGTGGGCTGAGGGAGAGCAGACTGCTGTCACTATGCCTCTCTGTTTTGACCACTGAGTTGATAGTAACAAGCTCAGGTTGTCATCTGACAGGGTCAACATATTGCTGAATTGCATTTCCCTGAGCATTCATAGCTTCCCCTTGAATCGTAGTTTGACTTAAATGTAGCTGATGAACTATTGAATTATGTTATACTGAATATTTACTTTCCTTGATAAATGTTGCACATTCTAAACACTTTACAAATCATGTGTCAAGGAACCCTAAGATAACTATAGATTTGCATCAAGCACCAGATTCAAAGGTCCTGCTGATGCAGTGTCTGTTAATAGCCCCCCTGTTGCCACAGCACATCATGTAATCGACCACTCAGCAGTTGGTGGAGAAAAAGACCTTGGAACAGAGCAGCTAATTACACTATGTGTGACAGCTATCCATTGCAAACCTCCCTGTATCCAGGAAGTATATGAGCGAAGCCCCAGGGCTATTCCCAATTTGTTTGCCAACTTGTAACCTTAGTCCAGTTATACCCCCTTTCTCATTAACCAATTCTCAAAACGAGTGCTGGGCAGGTCAGTTCAATAGCACCTCCCAAGAATTCAAAATCCCCAGGCGGGGTTTTTAATACTCCACATTTTGACCAATACAAAGATGACTGAGTTGAGACATATCAGTTTACACCAAAAGAGTATTTATTCTTGGTTTTTCACTCTTCTTCAAAAGTGTTGGACCATTTGCACAAGTCATTTTTTCAGAACATTTAACACATCTGAGCAATATGCATTCACAGTAAAACATGTGTTCCATGTTGAGAAATAATCAGTAGGCAAGTCATAAATAAGGTATAAAAAAACATTCTTTCAGCTGATGATTACTGAAATCTTGCAGGAAGTTCGCAGTTGATCTGGGTCAGTGAAAAGTTATGCCTTTACCATGGTAGCAAACTCTGTGAAAGTAGAATGAAACTGGCATTAGTGGTGAAGAAAATTGAATTGGTTTCTTATTTTGTCATGGTGGTATGATCTGGACTAATTGGACCAAAATGTACCTACACTTTAGGTCTTAGCAGGTACTGGAAGTATGTGAATGGATGTTAAATATGAAATTTTCCAAGAGTCCAAGGCCAATAAGCATCAGCATAATTGTGCATGTCTCTAATGTGTCTGATTACTCAAAATAACTCTTACCATCAATTCCAATCATGCCATCACCATCAGCGTCACCAATGGCAAGGAAGGCCTTGGTCTCCTTCTCGGTGAGGGCTCTGGCACCAGCAGCGAAGTTCTGCAGGAACAGCCTGACAGGAGGACAAAGCAGCAGAAGTTAAAATGATGAACATATCACACTATCTTGGTTGATTGGATGTGTATCACTGTGCAGAGAAAGGTATTAAAGAGCATTCTGTTGTGTTGTGAATGTTAAGGCAACATGTTGGAAGAAGTCTGTCCAATGGGACTGAGATGTAAAGTTATAAATGATTAAATAAACGTGGCCCTTAGTTTCCTTTTTTAATATTGTAGCTTGGAAATGGAAAAGGACATTTCCAAGAACCCCCATTTTAAAGCCAAGCTAAAACAGAATGTGGGGAGAACGAGGTAAGCTACCACTTGTTTCTCAATTCCAGCACAGCAATTCTAGATGTGGTGCATATTTTTGGCAGCAGAGGCATGTCTTACTTCAGCTCTTCCTCCTCAATGAATCCACTCATGTCCTGGTCAATGATGGCGAAGGCTTTCTTGACCTCATCAGAAGACTTTCCAGACAGACCGCATGCACTGAAGAATTTCTTGTGGTCGAAGGAGTCAGCAGCTGGAAAACACATTTTAACATCATTAGCAGCATAAAGGCATGCTGGAGGCACTAGGACTTCTGTTTTGATTGGATTTGATAACTATGCCTGGCAGGTTATACGTTTCATTTTCACCACAATTTGCAGCACTTTTCTTTGCATGGCAATTCATAAAAAGTGAAAATGAGGATGAATTGTGTTTTACCTGTATAATTTACTGTGTACAATATTGAGTCAATGAAGCTCACCTTTGCATCCTTCCAGAGCAGCTTTGATGTCAGCTTCCTTGAGCATGCTGGCGACGGCCATTTTTTCTGATTCTGAGGGAACAAAGAAGACAATGCCCAGGATGATTAAAATAATCAAAAACCCCATACAAAAGTCAAAATGAATGCATTGCAAATATACCTCTTTAAAGCAATAACAAGTAGGCCTATAGTGTATCTAGGATATTTGTATCTAAAATACAGAGACTTCAGATAGGGAGGACTAAGACTCTGTTCCCTAAAGGTTTAGAGTTGATAATATATCAACATTAGCTTAAAACCATGCATCAGTTATCAGGCTTCCAGGTAAGGCTATTCCTCATCTTGAGAAAGAAAGTTCATTAACATTGTATTTGAAAACATCCATAGGAACATAAACTTGTTTTGGTCACAATGAATAATTGCTTCAATTTTAAAAGGCTGCAACATAGCATCAACTGTTTTAGTTTTAGTTTTTAAGTACGGGCTAAAGAGCTACTCTTTGCCTCCGGATGTTAGCTCATGCCTCACTCTGTTTATCCCATCGCTGCTAGGACACTAAATAAAGGATGCTCCCACTCAGAGGCCAATTCTCAGCGAAATGAATCACTGCCAAAGTGCACTCGGGCAAACGCAGTGATGTCAAACGCGTCGATAGCTTTGGGTGTGATTATATGTTTTCATCCGGTTAAAAAAAAGGTGAAAGTAAAATAGCGCCATTATCATCCACAGACAGCGATCCATTGAAACCAAATGGCCACATTGGGCCTCCTTTTGCTCTGATTGAGTTGTCCTGTGGTCCATGGGGGTTTCCTGTCTATGTTGGTTCCATTTCTCCCTACAGTTATAGTCCAAAAGGATTTCCTTGTCTCAATCCCTCTCTTCCAAGTGTAAAGTGCCAGCGGTCAGCGCGCTTCCCACTCACCTTTGGGCTGCGTTGGGGGAAGTGAAAGCCAAGGCGGAGTAGAGTGAATGCTACCGGTCCCTTTCCCTCTCTCTTATATATCCTTGAGCAACACCTTTTACAGAGTTTTGAGTCTCAGTATCACTTACCAAGATGCATGTGTTTCGAAAAAATGTGTCTACTAGTCTCGTCCTATTTTTAGTCGAACAAATGAGGATGCTACCATGTGTGCTGAGGCCTATAGCTAGACGTGTGGTAACGTGAGTGAGCCCGCTGCTCCCCGACTTCATATTGCACTCATGTGATTTATAACCAACATTCAAGTCCCTTTTGAGAATAATAATGAAATTATTGATTGAGAGTGGATACAGGCCCTGGGTCAACCTCTAATTAGGATTGTGAGAGAATCTTGAAGCCAATTGGTGCCACGTCAATAAGCACCAGGGACTCACTGCACTGCTGTTACATTTTTTAATAAACTGAGGAAATATTAAATGCACTGCCATTACGTAATTCAACACTCTGCAAAGTATCAAAGGTGTTAAGGACTGAATATGCATTGCCATCAAAAGCCCTATTAATATGTATCCCCTTATGATTCGTAAATTCTCCTTATTATACTTGATATGATATATGTTGATTCTGATTACTGTGGTATCAGCGAGATGTTCCAATACATGTATATTTGCTTCGATCCACCATCATTGAGCTTATTATTACATAATCATTGTGTATTTTATATCTAATACTCATGTCTGAGTGGTAGTGGCTGTCTGCTAAGTGAATACGTGAATTCACTTAATTCCCCCTTTATCTCCTTTATTAGAAGCCTCTTCTCAGTTTTATCAGGAAGTGATTATAAATGGGTGGAGTCAGGCTCCCGATAATTGCATCCAAAGAGCTGGAGTTGCAAATACCTCCCGGAGGTGATTGGGAGATAGATATGTATCTGTGACATTAAGTAGCTGTCCTTAAAGTATACATGATGCCGTAGATTTACAAGTGGTTCATCTGAACGACGCATGAAGTGAGTCGAGTTTCAGGCAAACAGCAGCCAAGCCCTTGAGGTCCTGTCCTTAGTAGGCAATGCACCAATCATTCAGACTATGTTCTGTGTGCAGCATGATTGCTTGCGTGAACAAGTTAGCAATATGTTGACAACTAATTTTACTCTGACGTGCTGCCAAGGCACAAAAGGCAGCTCATTTGTTGGCATATAAATAACTTTGTTAATGCAGATACATCATTTCCTTCTTTATGTGTTTTGTCAGCAACTTTCAACTGATTAATGTGTTTTTATTTTTATTAAATGTTAACCCTAAACTGTGAATCATTTCAGTTATTTAAATCTCCAACACTCATCCAAGTCATCTTGGTAGTGTAAAAACTAAAAAAATGCAATAAATCACCGTAAATGCCATAATTATTGTCTATATTTTTACCTGGAACCGTCCAGCAGAAGGCAGTAATGATCCTAAGAAAATGTGGATATTTCATTTTTTGGGAGAAGGGGGGGGGCTTAACATACTCTGCGGCAGTGAATCAAATTAGGCATTTTTCAAAAACACATTTTGAAAAGTGTTACAAATAGATGGGTAAGTTTTTTCAAGAGTCCCAGTGGGAGTTACATGCATATCATTTGCTTTCTATTACATTACAAAGTCAAAATGTTTTTGATGGGAAAAGTCCCATGGGTTTCCCTTATCAGAATTATGCCAGTGGCTCTATTGAAAACTTCCATCAGTGCAGTGTGAGTGGGATAACTGCATCAATGGCCACTCATCATACTCTAAGGCTATTGAATGGTTTAGTCTAACATCTATTATGGTTTATCATATGTTAATGTTGTTGGTCATCCCTTTCTTTTCTCATAAATGTATTCAGCGTGATGCAGATACTTTACAATCAAGATTAAAATAATTGAAACTCCTCAATACCTTAAGTGTTTATGGCTTTCAGAGACACTTCGTCCATTACAGGCATAAGAAAAAATCAGACACTGTGATACCACATGTTAAACACATTTATTAAATCCTTCCAGGTATACCTGATTGAAAACACACATACACACACATCTAATCTACCTTTAACTTTCTGTCCACCACACATCTTTTGCATAATTGTATTACATCAATAGGAAGAGCAGCAGGCAGGTAAAGAACATCCAAGGTTTCTTTGCATCAAACAATATAGAAAATCAGAATTTCCAAGAAGAGAACTGTTATCTTAAAATAGGGAAAGACAGTCGTGGTCAAAGATGTTGATTTCGTTTAATTCAGCATTTCACAGAACTCTGTGGAAGAGAAAAACAAATTCAGTCAGATATTTTTTTAACCACAACAATCATACCCAGGCAATAAAAGTCCTAAAACACATTCACGATGAATAAACAAGTAATTTGGTGTATTATTTTATTATTTTTTAATGTTCTTGTATGTGCTATTTATAGACTGCAAGTTCAGCACTAGGTAATGGACAGCTCCCATGCACATGCGGCTTCTTTGTCTGATGTGCTTTCTAAAAAGTTGTAAATGCACCCACCTTCCATCCCAATCTTGCCATCACCATCCTTATCGCCTGCACTCATCAGAGTCTTGGTCTCACACACAGTCAGTTCCCTCGCTCCCGGAGAGAAATTCTGGAGGAACAGTCTGTTGGGTGCACATAAAACATAAGCCATACGTTCAGACTTATATAATCATAGACTGTATTCGAATCATGGCATCATAGACTGTACTTATGCAATGTATTTTCCCTCTAGGCTTTGCTGAGCCTTTTCAATCCCCCTCCTCTTAACTCATTCACTCACCGGCCCTCCCCCTCAGGTATTACTGAATGCATTCGCTGGGAATGCCGCTCCATTCATACAGTGACCTCTGCCTTTGGGCAATCACAAGGGAGTGAAACATAGATGTAGAACACACGCACATACACTGTATCTTAACACTAGCCCTTCAATTACACACCCACCCACACATATACAGACACATTATCCTTACTTGAGCTCCTCCTCCTCAATGTATCCACTCTTGTCTTGGTCCAGGACTATAAACACTTTTCTTCCCTCAGTCTCGGATGAGCCAGTTAGTCCTACTTGCTCAAAGAACGACTTGAAGTTAAATGTGCCCGGAGCTGCATATGCAAAGAGGGGGATGAAAAGAGCAAAAGAGACACACATATGTGGGAGTGAGAGGTCAATCACAGAACAGCAAGAAAGCAAGAGTGGTGAGGGACTGAATAGAAATGTCGCATTAACTCATACGCTCGGATGACTTTCATTCTTCAGTCAATGAAATGTACCAATAGACACCCTGTAGCGCATCACTGTCTTATACCATTACAGGCTATGTCATTGTGCCATCGGAGCAGTCAAAGCACACCGGATATGTCCATGGGTCTAATGAAAACCTAAAGGTTAAAAGCCCTTTATTTAACAAGCCGCTCAGAGTGGACACTTTAAGTACCCCTAACCTTAAGGTGATATGTCTGTTATCATCACTTTCATAAAACTAAATTGCATAAAGTTTAGATTTGACAATGCCTGAATCATTGCTAACGGGGTGATTCTCTTGATTAAAGGGCACAGAAGCGCTGACATTTGATTTCCTTCTGAGAGGTTGAGCTGTGTGCGCCTTGTCATGCAAACATAATTGTGAGAGATAAATGATTAAGTGCTTTGGGAGATGGGGAGGTTGTGTGATTTTGTCCTCTCTGTGTAAATGCTAAACGTAAACACTGTGGTATCCGGGTGGTAACTGGTCTCCTGCCACAAGGCTGCCTGGTTACCTGCCCCCACTGTGGAAACCCATCAGCTCTTCCTAGTGGGACTGGGAGTGGGTTTAACATTTCCTGTCTGTATCTCTCTGCATGTGTGTGCATGTATAAACACTTATTGTAAAGTATATGTGTTCTTGTATTAATCGGATGCACGTTAAGTGTGTGCCTCCCTCCGTGTGAGCCTGTGTGTGTGTCGTCTGACTCACCTTGACAAGCCTGGATCGCCGCCTTGATGTCCTCGTTGCTCAGCATCCCTGCAAATGCCATGTTTCTCTGTAGCTGCCTCAGGGGTGCAAACAAACACGCACGATGGAGAGAATGCAAAGTGACAGTAAATGAGACAGGTGTTTACTGCTGTCAGAACACAGTCACATAAAACTTGTGGATGGATTAAGGATAATAACTCCTCTGTTGTTAGTCTTTAATACATCAAGTTGTGCCTTTTATTAGTAGGGCTTATTACCAGAAGCTATTACTCGGACATATATTTCTTGACATGATAAGGTATAAATCACAATTGAATTGCCTGATGATCCAAGCTATGTTTCACAAAATGAATAAAAAAGTTGTTGTAACTTGAAGGAGAAAACACAAATAGGGCAAAGCCAACAAATCAATATGCTTCAAGGCACAAGACACATACGAAACTGCCACTTATCATCACTCAAACATTGTCGTGCACATGAATTTGCAAAAAAGCTTGGTAGCCTACTCACCGTGCTTCGGGTTAGGTTTTAACGTTCCGATCCTAGGATGCACAGATTTCTGCTTCTCTTGCTTTGTGCGTGTAAGCCAGCAACACTCTCTTGCAGCTTTGTGGTCCGGAGTGCAAGAAGCAACCTGACGTATCTGTCTTCAAACCCAGGGAGATTTCCCCCCACGCCACAGAAAGCCTCCTCCTCCTTCATCAGTTAATCAGAGCATATGATTTTTTACTCAAATTGTTGTGCAAACTTGCGCGCATAAAAGGTAGTTAAACCTTTTTATATTGCAATCGGATAACCCTTAATATATGTATTTTTACTGGTGCAAATGTTTCATTTCTACTAAAACAGCTGTTATTAATTATCATATTCATAATGAAGTAATAATTGTTTCAGTCCATCAGATAACTGTGATAGTTATAAATCAGCTATGTTTATTTATTGTCATTATTAATTATGTTATTTCAAAATAACTAAATGTAATAAAAACACTGTATAAACTCCAATGCAACTGTCAAATTGAAGGTCTTTCTTTATTTCCCCCCTTTTTTTGTATTTCAATTCATTTTTCAGCCATTATAACCTTGAAGACCATTATTTTTAAGGAGATGTATGGAGTGGGCTGAGAACCACTGCCAGAGGCAACTTTATTATGTTGTATCTATTATAGGGGCTTCCAAGAGGGAACTTTTGACCCGCTTTATTTTCAATATGGGGGCATCCATTGGGGCCTGAGTACACCAGTTTATATGACTGTTAACCAGAGATGGGAAGTCACTAAGTACATTTACTCAAGTACTGTACTTAAATACAACTTTGAGATACTTGTACTTTACTTGAGTATTTACCTTGAATTCACAAGCTACCCTGTAGTATTTAAGGGATTAAAAGCTGCACCTTTACAAACTTTTATAACACATTAATGCATCAATAATTATAATCAAAACAGGTAATATACGGTTTATTATTCTTAAATGGCCCAATCTGCATAATGAGTACTTCTATTTTTTGGTATATTTTGATGCTAAAATGTGCCCTGTTTTCCCTACTCAACACCTTTCCATAGGAATAAAGACTTCCAGGAAGTGACTTTAGAGAAAGATGGAGTTGTCCAGTTGTGCTTTGCATTGAACATTGATTTACATTTGGAGCTAATAACAAACAGAGTTTGATTTCGTTTTTATGCGGTCGGTGTTTGCTAATTTTAGCCTACCCAGTGAATCTAACTCCCACAAATAGTCGTATGAAATCACTAGAAGTAAATTGGACACAAAAAACCTCAAGAAAAAGCATACAGCAAGATCCAAATTCTCTGTCCACCTATTACATTCTGCTTAGCAGCTTATGGTGGGCCGTAAATCCAAAAATAAACATTTATTATAGACAGGTCCTCTGAACCATTCTTCCGTGCCTCACATAGTTGGCAAGTGACTGGATGTAAAAAGCTTTCTTCAGCTTTGATAAAAAGCACTGGATTTACATGCACAGATAATAAAGCTCGAAGCCGATTGGCTCTGTGTGTTATACAGGAAGGTATTCTTTGTTTTGATTGGCTTGATTACGTGTCAGTTATTTTAGGGATTTACGCCCCGTTCCGTGATGTGACGCCGTACAGGAACATGGCGCTTTGGAAGGGAGCTGTTTCATGATAGTCAGAGCGATTGATCCATTTTCTTTAGTTATGTTAATTTATATAACAGCCAGGTAAATAAACCAAATATGTTAGGCCGTGAAAGGTGATCGCTCCTTGTGTCTCCATGGACAACGAAACACTAGGTTTGGTAGCGTTGTGTGCTGTCGTCAGCTGAAACTGTTAGCATTGATATGCTATCTAAAGCTAGTTAGCTGGCTAATGTTAAGTAGCTAGAGTTAAATATGCTTGTTTACGTAGCCTACACTGACGTTAAACTGATTATCAATGGTTAAAACACGTTATTTATTATCAGATCAGCCATTTATTGTTTAGGACGACGATTCCGATTAGCTAACATTTCGTTAGCTAAGCTAGGAGGATGAAGAGCCGCCATGGATATGTTTTGTTGCTGGCCAGTGGGATTTTCCTGTCGGTGTTTTGGCTGTCTGAAGGTGCCCCTCTTCAGTATCAACACAACTCAGGTGAGACAGCTGACTGTAAGGTAATACACAGCTGAGTGATTGTCTGTTCACTCATCACAATTCCTTTCTATCCAGCTGCTTAGCTAGCAGATGTTTCTGTTAGCTAATATATGCTGGATGTGGTTGCTAATCGGCAGCTAAAAGCTAACAACACACCAGACTGGTTGCATTTCCTGCTAACAAGTGGCATCCAATATGTGGACTCGTACTGACTGACTGTTGTGTGTTTGATGACATATTTACAAAATATCAATTTGTTCTGTATATATGCACTAGGGAATCTTATAATAATTAAAAATATGTGCTCGTAACGATTCTGATTAAACCAAACTGTTGAACAGAATCGATAAACCTTTCCTCTACCAGGACACAGAAATTATTTATTAACCTAATTTTAGGGATTTCTTGTTGAAATGTAACCCAACTTCATTATCCTTCAGGTAGCAGTGGTGTGTCTGAGTTAATATAATACAGCTTATTGTAACTGCAGGTTCAGAAATGTTAATCTGTCTGTGGGGTTGGTCCAGTCATTGACATTTAACCAAGTTTATGGGACAATACACTGCCCTACCAGCATGGAAACACAGTTTATTGTTATGAAGTTAACCTTGAATAACCTCTTTCTAAATGGATTATAGTTTCTCTATTACAAGTTGTGTACCATGTGTGATGATCGTTTAATTATTTTAGGATGAATCAAAGTGTATTCATAAAAGACAGCAGTTGATTATGCTGTCATATGGCAGTGTGATAAAACACTTTATATGTTGATAAAGAGACGGTTGTTAAGGAGAGAATGAAAGAATCAGCAATTGACAGTATGAAAACAATTCAAATCCAGCTGTTTTTACTTAGGATACTATGTGAGGTGACTATTTTGTTTTCATTTGGTTTCATTCATTTCATTACACACTAAATGTAATGCTCTAGACACAATTAGGAATTCAGTTTCGCCAACAAATGATACATCAATTGAAAGTAGATGAATCAAATTCCAAAACAATCACTTGTTGCATCTCCAATGTAATGGGTGCCATACATCCACTTCAAGACAAGGAAATGGTTTCAGGGTTTTTACTAAGAGGCTGAGTCAACCTGCTTCCTTATGAGAATGAATGCAGACGTGAGCATGTTGTGAGGGTCGGTAATGTGTAACTCTAATACATTCCAGTCTTATCAAAACCAGTCAATGATTAGCAACAGTGTTGTTTGACTATAATACTGCAGCTTACTGGAAAGTTATGAGCATGCTTTTTATGCTTTTATTGCACAGCAACCTGTTCTTTGCCCTGCTTGCATTTAGATATGGTACAGTCATTCAATATTTTAAAGTTTTACTTGAGGCTATGAATTTAGGTAAGATCACACATATAATAACTATATCTGGAAAGTCACATACAAAGTTTTCAAGTGATGTGGGCTTTGTTTACACACATCACACATAGGTAAACATAGGTAGGTCAATGTTTTATCTGTAGTAACAGCCCGGTGATGTCAGGTGGTTAGTCAAGTTGGACATTTGCCCTAAACTTTCACTACGTTGCTGAGTGATTAGTGAATGAGTGTTTTCTAAACCAGGCTATATAGGATGCGGCTTTAACAACAATTTAAGCAGTCATTTTCATATTCGGGTACTTGCAAAAAAAAGTGTTTACCATTAAACTAGTTGTTCTATGATACGCAGGTTCAATTTCACATAGTTGAATTGTACAGTCATTTATTTTGAAGTATTTTAACACATTTCTCTTTTGCCTGCTTGCCATTTGCGTTTTAACATTAAATTGAATGTCTAACGGAAAACATTGGATGTTATATTTTCTGCACTGATCTAGTATCTTTAAAAAAAGGAATTACTCTATATGGTGAACAAATAGAGTACTCATGATGAACTCTTTCCCATACCTAATGTCTAACAGTCTTTTAAAATGTTGTTTTTTCATTAACAGGAACATATTGCTAATTTGTCGTTGAAAATCACAGAAGGCAATGATGCAAATATTTTTCCTTACAAGGGGCCGCAGCCATTGGTATTTGCTCTTCAATTGAACTATGAGTTTAAAGGTCCCCTATTATACTGTTTGGCGAATGGTTGCACAAGCCAGAAATTTTCACGGACAAAAAGGGAGCGAATAATTTTTCCTGAAACTTTCAGAACCTCTTTCCACAGAAGGGACACATGTTTATATAAAAGACTTGAAAAAGTGTATTTTGCACAATAGGTGACCTTTAATTGCTTCCCATTATAACCACTAGATAAATCTTAGCAGAACTCAAACATAACCGCAGGGCTATCCATCCCCCTTCTTGAGCAAAACAGAAAGCAGAGATATCTACAGTTATGCACACTGGTGGGTGAAATCTGCAAAAATGGGTCAGCTCCTCCTCTGCGTGAATCCCTGCCTACTGAAATATTCAGTGGAATTGAAATAAGACCTGGCAGCTCCCTTCCGTATTTGTCCCAAAAACCAGTTGAGTCATTTTCTGGAGCCTGCCAAGTCATAATATGAACCCATGACTCAGATAAGGCCTAACCTAGTAGAACTGATCACATGTAGAGCTGCCGTGATGCAGCTCCTGGTCTTTCTGTCTGACTGCAGCTCCAGCCTCTGAGTCCTGCAGCTCGGCTCAAACAGACGGGGGCTGCCTAATTACAGCCAAGCGCTTTTCACAGGATTGTTGTGAAGTTAAGCTTTAATAAAGCCAATTGGAATTCCCTCTGAACGCCTGCTCCTGCCAACATCATATTCTCATTTTGTAAGCTATTATTGAAGACGGAGGAAATGTTTCGTGAAAAATAGGCAAATTAGATATTTTGGATCAGACTGGAACAGGGCTATTATATTTTGGTTTAGCTCACTCTTGGATTCATGATGTTGGAAATCCTTGCTAGTATAAAATTATGAAACCAATGTATTTTATATTAGGACCGGTTTAGACCACATGTTATCAGGCTTTTAGTTTTGGAAAATAACGTAAGCTTGAATTGGGAAAGACACGTCCTTTTATTTATTTTTATTTTTTTTAAACCCTCTTGGCCACGTGGCTTAGTGCAAGACCCCTGTCAGTGGTTTCCCTCTCAGTGTGGGGGATGTGGTGGTACCCACCTTGGTGGTGTGGTGTGGGGAGTTGGCTGTTGCGTGGCATGGCAACAGTTCAGCAATGCATGCAGTAGATATTGTTTCTGCCTGGCACCCTAACTGAGATTTTGATGAGTACACGAGAAAGCATTTCCATCACTTAGGGAAAGCCCATCCAGTAGCGTGTGTAGGGCATTACAATGTTTTCCCCCTTTGTTCGCCTATGCTGACATTGCTTCTTCCCTTCAGACAATGTTGATTCCTCTAGATTTCTCCATGCATATCTTTTCCTCTTCTATTGCTATGGGCGTGTCAGTTTCTGTTGTGTAAAATACTGTGTAGTCTGTGGTTTAGAATGATGCATGTTAAGCAGACTCAGTCTAATAGGTTGGGCTGCATCAGCTCTCTGTTCTCCTCCTCTCCCTTCCACTTCCACTATGCCAAGTGGCCAACTGCAACGCAATGGGATTGAGAATAACCTTCAGCAGCCCATTTAATACTTAAAAAGGCCTGCTCTAGATGATAATAACAAGGTGGCAAACAGTTGTAAGCACACATCTCCATTAAGAGCTACATCTACGTGAGAATGTGTCCTGACGATGGAGCCATTTAATCTTTAATTCCACTTCTCATCAATATTTCACCGCAGACACTGTCTCCCTATTGCCATTTTTAGCATAGAGGCAGTAATCCTTTGGAGGCATCTATTATTTAGAAATAGGTGTTTGAGATATTTAAACCATGACATTAAAGTTTTTCATTTTCTTAAAAGTTACCTTTGGTGTCTTTGAAAGATTAAGAGGGATTGAGCAATCATGTCTATTTTTGTAGTTAATAGCTTGGTGTACTGTGGTAGACATGGCATGAATCTTAATTATGGCTGACAATTTAGATCATATCTAATGTTCCCCAGAGAGATAAAGTGATTGCTTCTCAGCAAATTTCCCCTCTGTGGGACTAATAAAGGTATTCTGATTCTTGTCTCATCTGCCCTCTGATGGGCCGTGCTGTCATCAGACCTGTTCGGCCTGTTTATAGACTCTACTAGATCTTACGGGAACAGGACTCCATGTCATAGTATTACTTTGGTTCTGCGCAAGACCTCTGGTATCAATGTAAAAGGGGTTGTTGATATTACCACTTTGTCCCCCTTAACCATGATGTTTGACCGTGTCCATGTAGATAGATCGAAAAACATTGTTTACTTGAAAAGAAATTGCTCCAATTATTTTCTTTTTAAAGCTATTTCTGCACTGTACTCTACTAAAATAGAAACGATGGAAGTAAGAAAAATGGCTAATTGTGCAATCTGTTGGTACACGAAGGATGGAAATTAGAGCTGGGAAAGACGTCATACCCAAGTCTGAAAAACAGCTATGTTAGCCGTTGTTAGCAATACCAGTTGATAATGACGCTGTACCGTACACTAAAGCATTATGTCCACAAATTAAAGTTTGACATTACGGCATGTACGACTGATCTAATGACCGAAATAAAAACAAAACAGCTTCTAAACAATTTTTTGCCCGCAACTATCATGCTATTGATGCTAGGAGCAGCCATCTTTGATTTTGAGGTTGAGGTGGGGGTTTTCCTGACTTCCCGAGTCGGATAACCATCTTCAGGTGGCAAGCTCTGGATTCATGACTTCCCAGTAGAAATAGAACTCCCCCACTTGTTTGCCACATCACATGCATGCATTACAACTATCATTTTATAAGGAGTGTTATCCCAAGTTCTCTGCAAATGTTCTACTCACCATGTTCGTAATTCGCAGTTTAGATGGTCTCACATTTTGTTGACTCTCAGCATTCGTCTAAAATAGATTTATCAAAAAGGGTAGGTCGTGACAACAGCAGCCTAATTCCAGAGCTGCTGCACTAAGAGCATTGTTCAGTTCACCATTTAAGGCCTCTAACAACCTACATTTAAATACAGATTAATGATGACACACGTATCGTAGGATAAGCTATCCAGAGAGATTTGGATGTGACAGAAAAATGAGTTTGTTTTTTAATGTCATCATTTGAAGAAGCTTTGTTTGCACCTTCAATACTATATATCTGGAAAAGCAGTATTCAAAAAGGTTATAGATATATTGGTCTTAGCTTGGCCAGGCTGACTATTACAATGATTTTCAAGTCTGTTGTTTTTCTCCTTTATGTGCCGATGAGAAACCAACTAGAGGTAGGTTTGTAGTCTGGATGTATTCAGCACTTGCCTTCGTCTGTCAGGAATGATTCGTTCAGCAGAAGGAGTCTCAGTGGGTGTTAATTCTCCCTCTAGCAGACGGGATGTACCTGACAAGCTACGACCAGTGGGAGGCAGAATATACACAGGCCCAAATTCACCATTCTTTCAGTAAACACTCACACGCACATTACCCCAGATATTGTGTAATGACTTATGCAATGTTAACTTTTATTTAAATTCAATATGTAAAATTACAAATATGTCAAAAAACATGGCGCACTCCCAGACGACATCTAAAACTATTTCTTGTTGACACAGGAAAGAGGAAAATGATTGACTTGAATGTGTTCTGATTGTTCCTCGCATACATCACTAACTACAACAAAAGTGGCCAGTAGTCAAATAAGCAGTCAGAAATGAGCAGGGACATTTTGGACCAAAAAAAGACGAGTGGTGGAAGAACATGGTGACAGGCTCACATTCACTGCCATACTCGAACGTAAACATGCTAATCTTTGTGGGCTTCTAATCCACGAATAACATTTTTAGACAAGCCAATTAACAAGTAGGCCTGCAACTGACGTTTATTTTCATTATCAAAGAATCTGCCATATTTTCTACATGAATCTATTAATTGTTTCTTGTGTCTGTGTATTCTATCTACAAAGTGTCATTTAGGAGGAACATTTCCATTCTAGTTTCTTCATGTCTATGGTTTTCACTTTAAACATCTTGTTTTTTCAGTCCAATTAAAACGTTATTCAGTTGAATATGAGAAAAATTGGGAAAAACAGAACATTTTCCTTTTTTTGGGAAGATGTCAAAGTATTTTCTGCTGTGTGAACATATTAAAAGTGTATTTAAGGATTAATTGATTATTTTTCTGTTGGTCGTCCACTAACTGAGAAGTTGGGTAATTGTTGCATTTTTATTAACAACACTTATCAATGATCTTATCTTAGTTATTATAATATACCTGAAATCCGCTTGATATGTCTGACTTCCAGTCCAGTTAAAATTTGTTTTTTCCGCCCACTTCAGCCCACCTTTTATTTCCTGTTATAGCACAATATCTATATTTATCACATGAATACATAACAGGTGCTTTTATAAATGTTTGAATGTGAAACAAACAAAACAATATTTTAGTTGTACCAAATTGGAAATCTCAGCCACTGCGATGGAAAGCCTGAGTCGTGTGGATGTTGGTCAGCATCAGTGTGGAGAGAGCAGCTGAGCAGCAAAGTGCCATAGGGGGGGGGGGTCACAAGGCTGCTGTCAGACCTGCCACTCGAACTGCTGGGCCAGCAGCATCCTCCCCTGTGCTGATCTAACACCTGCTGTCACCACTGCTGCACCGTCGATCAGCTGCTTATCAGCCAGTGGAAACCCCCACAACTGTCTCTGTGAATGGCTGAATAGGAGTAGAGGTCGGGTGGTGACAACTGCCATGTCCTGTTAGCAGAATTGTAAACCTTAAGATTACCCTATTGTGCAAAATACACTTGTTCATGTATTTTCTACATCAACATGTGTCCCCTCTGTGTAAAGACATTCTGAAAGTTTCAGGAAAAAAGTTTCACTCTCTTTTTGTCCTGATCCATTTATATAAAAACCTGTCTGAAAATGAGCTGATCAGATTTTGGCCACTTTATGATGTCATAACGATTTTTTGGCTTGTGTAACCATTAGCCAATCACAAACCAAGGTAACCTTATCACTTGAATCTCCTCCTAGAGCACCATTGTGTTCTTTCTAACCAAATATCTCTCAGAGGGGCGTGGGGAGGGGCTCCTTATTTTCATCTAAAGTAGGAGATAGAGCATCAGCACTTTTGAAACAGGGCTGAAACAGAGGGGATTATGGGATGCTACAATGATCTGTTTGGTATTTGGAGCCAAACACTTCAGAGACATATATATTATATATATCTGAGACCTGTAATATATTGATGAAAAACAGTATAATAGGGACCTTTTTAAAGAGAGCAGTACAATCAAGAGAGCACAAACCCCTATTGTGCATGTAACAAACATTTCAGATGCCAACGTTTTATTCTCTTCTATAGTTATTTCTGATCACAGCTATTCATTTGAATAATGATATGTTTTTTTCCTTTCAGATGGAAGCACAGGGGACACGTGGTCTGTGTCCCTCTACCTGTCCCTGGTGGTGTCCCTGACGGCGCTCGTGGCCTTGGTGGTGCTGCTAGTGAACTGTGTGACCTGCTGCAAGGAGAGGGAGATCAACTTCAAGGTGAGGGTCCTGGCGGGCAGGTAGCCACACCTAATGAAAACATGGGGGATGGGGGGGGGGTTGTAGTGGGAAGTTATAGTTTAATGACAAACGTGATTTGACACACTCTTGTTTTCTGTTGATTTAGGAGTTTGAGGACCACTTTGAGGATGAGATCGACTTCACTCCCCCGGCAGAGGACACTCCTTCTATGCAGTCCCCAGCTGAGGTGTACACCCTCGCTGTGTCCCCCGTGGCCCTGCCTGGGCCCCCCCACCTCCAACCTCCTGTCAGCATCACAGGTCAGACACATGCACACTCATATTCAGACCCTTTAATGCTAAACATTTAGAAAAAGTATGGATTATTGTTTTTTTTTGCGGTTATTGTCATTATAATACATACTCTGACATGCTGTATAGAGGAATTACTGAATTTGTGTGGTCTTAATTAACAGAGGGATCAGGGGACGTCCAGTTAGCTCGTCACAGTCTGAGTTACATCCAAGAGATCGGCAATGGCTGGTTTGGCCAGGTAATGACGAGCTAACTGGACGTCCCCTGATCCCTCTGTTAATTAAGACCACACNCTCTCGACTGCCGATTGGTCAGAGAGAATCGTCACAAGATCGCGCGCGAGATCATCCCTAGCGTCGCATATATATCTAGAAGCAAGCTTGCAGCATTTTTATACACAGCATTTTTGTAAACGGAGGAGCTACAAAAATGGCAACGTCAAAGAAAAGCACACCGTGGTCGACCGAGGAGGTGACGACGTTCCTACATGTCATTGGGGATGATAAAATCCAGCGGGAGCTCGACGGAACAACTCGAAATGTGAAGAAAAAAAAAAGCTGATCGCCCCGCCTACACTGCGTTTCTACCCCAGGTCCTAAACTCGGACGGCCAGCGAGGCAGCCCGAGGCCTGAGCGAGGACGCTTAGGGACGCTTAAACGGGGCTACCCCGCTGCAGTGGAAATGTGCCATTAGTTTATATCTGTCAGACTCAGGAATGATGTGATAAAAAAACACAATTAGTTAATCATGGCAAATTTACATTAATACAATAATCGTGAAAGTTGTCACGAGTGATTGTAATGTTGATTTAAGAAATGTACTAAATAAGAATTTACTTTCAAAATAAATTTGACCTATCTGTGACATGCCATACAAATAGTTTCTCGACTAAATGTATGTAGGGATTCCAGTATGTTTTGGTACCATTTCAATAGTTTTAAGCATATTTTAATGGTTATCTCAGTAATATTACAAAGCACAATTATTTTAGCTAGGATTCTCGTGACAGTTTCACATGCGTAGTTAGATTTTGTGAACTATTTGTGTTAAAAAGGTTGAGTGCATGTGCGACTGAATATTTCAAACAAAGCCACCATGTTTCTGCAGATCCCCCTGGACAACCCCAGGAAGCCCCCCCTGCCGCTCTGTGACATCAGCTGTGGTGGCTGGGAGTTAAGCGACCAGTCTGGAAGGTATCCCTACCTCTGGGGTGTTTCCCAACAAGGAGAGGTCAGTCATGTGACTACATTTTCTTTTTCATATAAAAGGAATATTTTGAATGTTTGAGAGTAGTTTGGCATGAGGTGCCTCTCCATTGTTTTGAATACAGTAAGGGGATTTCCATTATTTACACTCTGCTGTTTTTCACAGTAGTGTATATTTTGTATCTTTGTACTACCATTGAAAACGTTATTCATACAGACTTATATGAGATCAAATAATGCACACATGTATCTCAGTCACACAATACAGCAGCAGAGTGATGTTAGTGTATTTCACTTATCTTTTTTGGCCACAAGAGGGCAGCATGACTTCATATAATGTACCTCTTCAAACATAAAGTTATTGAGCTATTTAAGGTTACTTTCCCCTGCAGGTGTGGTTCAGGGAGGGCATCCACCCTCGGGTGCCGGAGGGCTCCAGCTGGGAGGAGATAGAAATGCCCAAGGAGGTGGCTCAGTTATCGGCGGGCCCCGGGGACCTGCTGTGGGTCGTTCTGTGGGACGGGAACCTGCTGGTCCGTACTGGCCTCAGCCTGGACTGCCCAACTGGTCCGTATTGACTGTAGTCAACTTAGCCACCCCATTCTTCTGCCCACATTTCTTTGGATTATCATATAAATTGTCAATTTCAACACCACATCCAATTTCTTCAGTATATGATTTATATTTTTAAATATTTACTGTACATAAACAAATCTAGGAAGTGGAAGAAAAGGTGTGAAATTATTGTACACTTGTTTAAGCCTCTTAAGATGTTCCATCATGTTTTCATGTGGGAACTAAAGAACATAGGCCAGACCTACAGTAAACTTCCCTACAAAGAATATCACTCATTTACTTATTTTACATTTCTCAAGTCAAATATGGTGGTTTCAGTTTTAAAGTAATTTGAAAAAAGATGCTCTTAAATATAACTTTTGCTTTAGAGGACAAAGACTTCAATAAAACAGCTTGCTAAGATAAGGTTTGCCTTCGTGCTGTGTCAGTGAACATCAATCTTTTTCCTCTCAGGCACATCATGGGTGGAAGTTGAATCCCCAGCGAAGGAGATCGAAGCGCTGCATGTGTCTGTTGGAGTGAGCGTGGTCTGGGTGGTCACTAAAGACTATAAGGTGAATCCGTACTCCTCTTATATGTAACACTCTTAATAGCTGTTGTTTATGTGGTGTTAAGTAACACATATCTGTGTGTTTACGTGTGCAAGGTGTGGTTCAGGCGCGGCGTGAACTCACACAACCCCTGTGGCTCCGGCTGGATCAGCATCGGAGGGGAGATGATGGTGGTAGATGTGGGACTCAATGACCAGGTAAAATACTAAATATAATAAGTATTTATGAAATTACAATCTGAATTTACAGTCATAAAACAAACTGAAACTCCAAGAGACGGTCAAAATAGCATTCCCCTCTTATACATTTAGCCCTTAAAAGCTTGTTCTTGTTCTTTGTTCTTCTTGTTCTTGGTCTTCTTGTTCTTCTATTACGAAAATCATGAAGCTTTAGCGTTTCGGTTATTCCTTCAGACCTTACGATTCACTTTCAGCTCGACTTTGGATCTGGTTTCAGGACAGATCAGGGCTGGGGTCGGTGCAGGAGAGCTTTCGCTCTGTGTCTCACTGCTGAGGACATGGGACACTCATGAGGACACTGCAAACCCTCATCTCACCCCTCCTCCCCTTCTGTTTCTCACCCCTCCTTTCCTTCTCCAAGCACTCCTACCTCTGGCCTGTAGTCCTAGCCCGTGGTTACCCTGTAACACGAGTACTGTCAGACGCTCCAAGCCAATGTCCCAGCAGTAGCACCTCAGGCCCAGCCTTATATATCCCAAGACTATATTCTTACTGGCGTGACATATGGAAACTCCCTAATTAGAAGCAGGCCAAGCCGTCACCATCCTATCCCATATTTCAGGGCTGCGATTATGGATATGGCTGGTGTGAGGAAGCAGGCACCAGTGTTACAGTATATGGCCTTATAAAGACAGCTGCCTGTGTTCTGATAGTGCCACTGATGGAGTGAATAAAACATCATTCTGTTGTATTTGCCACATTTTTCCCTTTTGAGGTATGTGGGTATACAGTATACGCCTGTCGCCTTTAATCTTTGCTGTTCTACATTGTTTTCTCTTCTTTCTGTCTGTCAGGTGTGGGCTGTAGGTGAGGACCGCGGGCTGTATTTCAGGATGGGTGTGACGCTGACTGAGCCAAGTGGGAGCGGCTGGATTCCTGTTTCGGGCCAATGGGGAAACAACAAAGAGTTTATCCCACCCAGGTCTGTATACAAGAAAAATCTTCTTCAATCTAGAAGTGAAACTGACCTGATTACATCCCCTATTTTTTTCCTTCTCTCTCCATATGTGTTAAATAGGAAGGAGTGTGAGTTTGGGGGTCAGCTGACTGATGCCTCCCAGGCCTCGGTTCTGAGCTGCACTGACTCAGACTCAGAGTTGGGTCCAGCCGAACCACCAAACAGCAGCAAAGACGCTGCCGTCCTGGAAGCAGCAGCCTCCTCTGTTGTCCCTTTAGGAAGTGCTGACACACCTACGCCCCCCCTGAAATCAGATGACACCCCCTCAGCCTCCCTACAGGATGCCCCCAAAACATTCATCCCTGCAAGTGACAGCTTCATTAACAGCCTGGTGTCAGACAGAGACAAAACCTCTACCCCACAGCAGTCCGTCACAGATGCACCGCAGGAGGAGATGGAGGAGCCGTCCCCAGCCCCGATAGCCCTGACCCCGGGGACCGTGGGGCCCGACGTCCCCTGGATGAATGTGGATCTGGAGGGGGCCGGAGCAGCTCGATGTGCGCAGGCGGCAGGACCCTCGTTGGGGGATGGCAGTGCTGCTGCCACCTATGCCCTGGGGACCCTGGAGACCCCTCAGGGGGTTGGAGAAGCGGACGCGCCCGTGTGGACCTGGATCTCTGGGGGGGGCTGCGATGTGGACGCCAGTTCTCAGATCAGCTGGCTCAGTCCCACAGGTATAAGGACAACCACAACTACTTTTGTTTGATGATTTATTGTTCCAGAATTAACTGTGAAAAACAACATTATTTACATTTTAAGACCATAAAAACAACCTTTCAAGGTAAAAAAAAAAGTTTTTAAGTAAATTCAGATAAATAAAAGAAAAAGAAAAAAAACATTTAAATAGATCCTTGGGGCTCAGTTACGGTATATATTTTTTAACAATTTCCCTTTTTTCCAAAAATATCTTTTTTAAGATTGCAAAAAATAAATGATCATGGTTCATAAACTTTTATGTCAGAGTACTCAAAATAATGTAAACACCTCATGGGAACTTTACTTATGTTCCAAATTTGATCACATTTAATATCAGTTAATGTCTGTATATCTGTGTTTGTATATCTGTGTTTGTATATCTGTGTTTGTTTGTGTTGTGTTTTAAACATTCGTGCATGTAGATATACTGTAGTGTACAGTGTGTGTCATCTCTATGGTTGTCTGTCTGTCTGTTTAAATGTGTGTATCGTCGTTCTGTCAGGTCCGCTCACCAACTCTCTGTCACTGACTCCAGTTCAGTCAGCGGCCTGGAGCGAGCAGCAGCAGCAGGAACACCGAGAGGAGATCAGCAGGAAGCCGCTGGAGAGAAGCCACGTAAGACCGCTTGTGTCTTAAACTTCTCTTAATCCCCTCGTTGTCTTGGTTTATCACACCTTGCCTTACATCCTCCTGTTTCCTTTGCCAGTCGGTGTGGGTGCGTAAAGGTGCGCTGCGCTGGATGAGGGACTGGAAGCCTCAGCGCTGGGTGGATGTGAGTGTTGCTCTGGAGCAGTCCACCAAGTCTGACGGCAGGAAGGACAGCATCTTCTTCGTCTACTACACGCAGTATGACGAGAAGAAGGTTGGTTCTGCTGTTAAAGAAACATTTCCTCCCCAACATGACCAATTATATCTTTAAATATCCTGTGTCAACTTGAATTGTTCAAGGTGTAGAAGTTGTGAGGAAATAGAGACAAACAACCTCTATCTTTGACTGACACTGTCCAACTGATACTGTTTAAGTGTG